ATTGATTTATTCAAGTTCTATGTTTGTACACATCTTTTATTTTGCTGGAAACCACAGAGAGTCCTTAAAGCTGCTCTTTTGTTAACAACAACTGGTTTGGAAGTTTGGAAAGATGGTTTGAGCATTTTGTGGTCCCAGTTGCAAGTTATAAGAGACCCACTCTGGAAAACTAAAAAACACCAGATTCATGAGCTGCTCACGTGTAAAAGAACGCAGTGCCACTCTTCATTTTGAAACATGATGTGCATATATTTATTTAATTAAATTGCAGTGTTTAAAAGCTATATTGAGATTTAATTTTCATTATTCACACTACCTTCCATCCAACGCTTCATTAGCCCAGCCTAAATGTCTCTTATCTAAACCTCTAAAGTCAAGTGACCACTTTACTTTCCTCCCTGAAGGTGGCGGTAGAGCGTTTGCTGAAGATGAAGGCTCTCAGTCTGACCTTGGCAGCAGAAGGAAGCGGTGCTGGTCTACCAGGCACTACCACAGGGGCTGTCAGTTTCAGAGAAAACTCGCCTGGCCTCAGCCCACCTCCCGAACCTCTTTCAGAACCCCCTCTTGGCATTGCAAGCCATCTCCAAGCAGGTGGAGCTGGCTGCCCATGGGAAGAGTGGACTCCTGTATCTCTTCCTGCCATGTACTGTGAACTCTACTCCTTTTTTGGAGACAGTCTGGCTGTACGCTTCAGCACTGGCCTGCCACTAGGTGGGGTCCCACCGCCAGGTCCCTGCCAACCACTAGAGGGCAGGAAAGAGCCAGCGAGCAGTGCCCCCAATCTTGAGAATACACGGAAAATGCCCCAGCTAACTGCCAGTATGAATATAAGCCCACGACAAGATGGAAGCCCTCGTATGGAACCACAACCACCTAGTCTGGCTGCTACTGTCCCAGGGAGGTAGGAGTTGAACAACATCCTAGTTTAACAGGTTAAAAAAAAAAAAAAGGGTAACTTTTTCTCAAAATCAGAATTGCGAGAAAAAAATCGTGATTTGTGAGAGAAAAAAAACGTCCGAATTCTGAGATAAAAGTCGCAATTACTTTTTTTATTTCACAGTTTTTTAGACAAAGTGTCTAAAATAATTGCTAGAGAGAAAGTCTAGAGATAAACTATAAAAAGTCTAAATTGTGAGATGAAAAAATCGCAATTACCTTTTATATCTTTTATCCTGTGGTGGAAAACAAGTTTCCATAGATTGTTAATGATAACCTTCAAATACAGACTTACTGTGAGTGTGAGTTACTAGGTTGTTAATAGATGGTGGATGCTTTTGTTAAAGCCAGCATTATTTAGCTTATTTTTAAAATAATTGTTTAATGGTGGAATTCCTGGTGAATTAGAATTACCCATGATCCTCCAAAGGAATCTCTGATTTGTGACAAGCAAATTGCGCCAAAAGATGACATAAGTCATTCTCTTTACACTCTCAGGCTGCTTCAATATTTGTGTGTATTTATATATTGCAATAAATGTCAAATATATTGTTTACATGTATCTTTACATTTCAAATCTTCTATTGTTTTCTTTTTGATTGCCGTTCGCAGTGTTTCATGGGATTGTTTTTTTTCTACTATTCAATCCATTTAGTCTTGTATCTTTGTCTTTTTGTCCAATTTTCAAATACAAATAATGTAATATTGTGATTCACCTCGTAACTGGTTGGAACATGGCTTCAACAAAGACTTTTTAAAAATCCCTATGATGAAAATGAATGGGAAAAATACTTAAGCCCTGCCTTAAATGATACGGACCCAATCATACATTACAGGGTGTCCGCGGGTCCTTAAAAAGTCTTAAAATGTCTTAAATAACGTTTTCCTAATAAAAGGACTTAAAAAGTCTTGAAATGTCTTAAATTCAGATTCGATGGGTCTTAAATATTTTTGGTCACATTACCGCTAAAATATCTAAAGTCTGACGGACCTAATGACTGTTTAACTAACATACCATGACAAGTGAGCTATTTTGCTGAATATTCTCATGACGCAAAAAGCATTCAAAACACCCACAGAGTGCATGCATTACGTGAAGTCTAGACTAGTGTGTGCGTGCGCATTTAGAGTGTGTTCTTTCACTGCATGATTCAGTCTATTAAAATACATTTACAATGATCACAAAATTCAAGACATGGGGGCAGAAAATGTATATATTTATACCACTTCATATAGTTAATCAATTTCACATGAAGAGTGCGTTTTTTTTCTCCAAAAATTACCATGATTACAAATGTGACATTGATTTTTTTATTTATTTTTTTTTTACAACAGTTCAATAAACTAGATGTTAATTAAGAGACTTACGTTTTAGACACCATATTGCCTGTTTTTGCTTTATTTCGACAACAAAAATAATTCCAAACACAGCCACCACAGCACTGTTCTGCGTCTCTGAGCAACATAACAGTGTTTCGTTCCGTTTAAATGATTCGGATCAGTCGCAATGACTCACTTATTAACAGTGACTTGCTGCCACCTACTGGCGGTTTTACATTCAAAGTATTTCACATTCAAAGTATCTTTTTATTATTTAAATAATTTCAAATATCAGTATTCAATGTTTCATGTTTAATAGAATATTGTCTGCTGATATGAAAAGTTCACTGTATATCTTAATACAGTGTACAATACAAATATAATTTATTACAGCGATGATATTTTTAGTTTTCTTTTTATGTTAAACACATTAAATATTACATATACTGTATGTATGTAATATAATGTGTATTTCCATTACAGGTTTAGGTCTTAAATTTCATATAAGGTGGTATTAAAAAGGTCTTAAAAAGTCTTAAATTTAACTTGTTCATGTCTGTAGAAACCCTGCATTAGCAAGTCTTGCTATTTAAAACTGTCCAAAATGTTTAGCAAAACTCGGTTCATATTATGATGATCACATTTTGTTGTTTTGTGTTGCGTGCATTTCTCACTGGTGGTCTCTTTTTGTCCCGTGTCTGCAGATCTCTTGCACGCTCCTCCTCATCTTCCGTCTCACGTTCCAGGTCATCTTCGTCACGTCCTGGTCGTTCAACCAGCCAATCCCGAGACATTTTCCCTAAAGCCCGCTTCCCGCTGCCTCAGGCTGGACCTCCTGCTTTCTCTTTCATCATTGGCGGGCGGCAGATGGGGCGACGCTGTCAGGGACGGCGCTTCCAGACGAGCTTTTCTCCAACACCACCTCTTACTACCCACCCACCTCGTGCTTATGCCCACAAGCTACCGGTCATAGGGAGAGTCAGCAAACCTGTGCGCCGCTGGACGTGTTCCCATTACTCACTTCACCTGCCGCTTTAAAATCCATGGACAATGTATGTGACGTTTAGAGACACATGATCACAGTGACATCTCATCAAATGGCTGCATCTGAGTAATTACAGATGAACAATTCTATATACGCTATGCCAGGGGTGCCCAACCCTGCTCCTGGCGATCGACTGTCCTGCAAAGTTTAGCTCCAACTCTAATCAAAGACACCTGCCTTTAATGTTTAAGTGATCCTGAAGACCCTAATTAGTTGCTTCAGGTGTGTTTGACTAGGGTTGGAGCTGAACTTTGCAGGACAGTCGATCGCCAGGAGCAGGGTTGGGCACCCCTGCTCTATGCAAACAAGGCAAGTTGTATTGTGAGGAAATTATTTTGAATCAATATCCAGGATTTTTAGGCTATAGCTCTACTGATTCTGATCAGTAGCATCAACTTTGAATTCTCTTATAGTTATTTCTGTTTGTATTGCAGATAGTATAATAGAACCTGACACCAAATAGAGTTTATTTTTAAAGTACTTACAGCAGGATGAAGCCGAACAGATTATTCTATAATTGCCTTGTTTATTAGAGTATTTATGTATGAGTAAATGTCCTTTTTTTACATGTTTTTTTTTTTTTGTGTAATGATGTAGGCCTGTATTAATAAACACATTATGTAGTGTACTCGTGTGATACTTTATTATTTTGTATTTAAACTGCCCAGTCTGTTTATAATGCCAATGATTTTAATTTTTCTTAAGCCTGGTATAATAAGCTGCGTTGTAAAATCTAAACAGTCCCATCATGACCCCCTTTAATTAATTTACCAAAAACAGTGCTTAATGCATTACTCTAAAGGAGTTGTTAAAATTATTATTATTTAAAAGAGGTTTTAGAATTGTTCCAGAGAATAATTCTTCAATCGTTATGCATTTTAATTAATCTAAAGCATTCTTTTTAAAGGGACAGTTGATCAGGCTTTGTATTCTTTCATTGAACACAAAAGAAAGTTAACCCAGTCCTGGAATGTTTTCTTATTTCTGTACAATTGAAGAAAATAAGAGATGTACTTGGTGCATCATTCATGCCAGTGATGAGATGCCTTCATGATGTACCAAGTTTGATTAAGCACAAATGTGAATGAGAGAGATGGTGGGACAATTCTCAGTGATTAACTTAAATTTCAGTCCGTTCATCACAAAGCTATCGTATGGCTCCAGAAGACTTGGAACATAAAGCATGACTACTTTTATGGTAATTTTATGATGCTTATACTGTTCTTTTTGGAGTTTGACTGTACCTGGTTACTGTTTGTATCTTTCGGTACATTCTTCAAAATTCTTAATTTTTGTTCCATAGAAAATCTCACGGTTTTAGAGCAACATGAGGGTGAGTAGGTGTCAGACTTTTAAAATATTCTGTTAATAAAGTTATGTTCTGATGACAACTGGACTAAAGCCAGTCTCTAGTGAAGTAGGCCTAGTTGATGCAGCTTCTTCATCATTTGAAAGGTTTGTTTAGGTTCTGCTTTACCAGACAGGTGAAGGCTGATGCTGTCTTAGATGTCTGCTGACCTGATGCATTAAACTTTCAACATGGTGTTGAACTCTCCATGTCAGAGCCCAGGTTTGGTTACACATGCCGCACTTTAACATTCTGCCATACTGAAGCAATATACAAACAAAACTAGTTTCATAATGGCTATTTGTGCTGATAAAGCTCGGACTTTTCTACGTGTTCACGCGTTCACGTTTATGATGATAGTGTATGGCCTCTTCATCGCCATCGGTGCTACTGTTTTGATGATACTGGAGCAACCTGAGGAGAATTTGCTCGTTAAAGAGGTCCGTGAACTAAAAGCTCTTTTTTTGGCAGATAACCCGTGCGTTGAGGAGAGCAGTTTGGATCTTTTGTTGATAAACGTGCTTTCTGCGAGTAAACGCGGCGTGGCCACACTGGAGTCCGCCAGCGATGAATGCAACTTCGACTTTACGTCGTCGCTGTTTTTCGTCGTTACCTTCCTCACGACCACAGGTGAGAAGCAGTCGGACACTCATTACAATGCTGGCTGAATGCATCACGTTAAAAACTACCGCTATTATTAAACCAGTCATTCTTGAGACGTGGGACAAAACAGGTCCAGCAAGGGTAACTGCTATTAGGTTTAAAAATAAAAATATTTTCAATTTTAAATGTCATGAGGGATTAATAATAGAATGTATTTAACACAATTATCACCTTCGATTTAATTTTCATTATTATACCAAATCTATGTTTCTTAATGTCCTCTCACTACATCTAAAACAGTGTGTCCACAGAGAAGGGTTCAATAATTCATATGCAATAAAATGGATAAAAATGTTTTCTTTTTTAATGATATCTCCTTTTTGCACCCTGTTTTGTCCCACTTCTCAAGAATGACTGAAACACAAAAAGTTCTTTAAAAATCGCCGCCCCAGTTACTAATATTGTAATTGTCTAATATTCTGATTATTTAACTTTTGGAGCAATACAGCTCAATATCTGCTGAGAGGCTGTTTAATGTCATATGTTGACTGTAAAAGAAGCAAGTGACACTACTGTTGTTTACAGCCGAGAAGCAAATATAAAGTTTATTGCACCATTTTGTTTATCTGTTTGTCTCCCTGTCTGTTTGTTTAGATCTATTAATCCTATAGCTCTTTCAGAGTAGCCTACAGCTATGTATTTAAGTCTGCACACTCAAAATATTTATTTATTTATAACTTGGATTAACCATAGCTTATTTATTACAGTCAACAAACCAAATGCTCTGTTACTGAAGCCTGATTTGTTCACGTTTGTGTAGCTGCACAAACCAATGGCGCTTTAGCCCTGGCGAAGCCGACGTGTAGCCTATATAAGGGGCCGTTCACATGTCGCGCCTAAAAACGCGTGGAAAACGCTAGGCGTGCCGCTTTCTGCTTTTTTCCAAAGCGTTCAGGCGCTTGCGCCCCGGAGGCGTCTGCCGTTGCTAAGCAACCATGACCTGCGCTCTCCTTGAAGACGCGGAAGTTTCAGCAAAGGATAAATGGATTTGCAGCACTAAAAATCGCTTGCAGTAGTTCTGCTACTAAATTTATTTAAAAATGGCTATCCCTGTACAGCTATGATCAGCTGTTGCTTCAATCTTGGCTGAGCTTTCAATATTGTTACGGAAAGGATGAAGCTGATTGGTTGGTTCTTGTCACATGACCCGCGGTGCGCTTGCGGCATTCTGAAAAGTTGAAATGTTTTTATCTCGATGCGGCGTGGACGTGCCTGGAAAAAATGAGCACGTCGTGACTGTGTCGCATCCATTATGAGTGTGCCTGCCGTGCGTCTACATTTGAAATAACGAATTTGAGCACGCAAAAGACGCGATATGTGAACGGCCCCTTAGTCAGCTCACAGCGCCATTTCATCAAAATCTTCTTCTTCCTCGATGAGAATCATCTCTTCGCTGACTCTGCAAGAAGCCGATGAAAGAAGACGGAAAAAAGCTCAACCCGCTCGCCGCCGTTGAAGAGCCCCCGGCAGAGGACGAATCTCCCCTGCGGCCATCCGGCACTTTCTAAAAGAGCAAATTAGAGCAAATTTCCAGCGTGCGTTGTTGCAAATGTCGCGCCGCGAGTGCAGGCGACACACTCACTGTGCCTGTCTGACTCGTGCAAGGACTTTGGAGGTCGCTCTAAGGGGTTGCCGGTTACAAAGCAAAGACTGTCCCGCTGGATAATTGATGCTATAGCCTTGGCTTATGCCTCAGAAGGTTTGCAATGCCCCATAGGTGTGAGGACCCACTCCACTAGAGGAATGGCCTCCTCCTAGGCTTGGTCCAGCAGAATCTCTATTGGTGAGATATGTGCGGCCGCCGGCTGGTCGTCGCCATCCACGTTTGCCAGATTTTACAGTCTAGATGTCCCTGCTCTCCAAGCAGCGATTTTATCGGATTAAACTGCTTATTTCTCCCTATGGTGGCAATAGCTATGTCCAAATGTCCTCAGCTGTGCTCGGGACTCAGTTGGCTCATGTTCTCTAGGGGCCCTTAACTTAAGTGCTCCAGAACTGGGCTCGCAGAGCGGCTTAAGGCCAAAGAATACTTTGGCTGCCCGCGTCCGTGCACCATCCACATTTCGTCATTTTTGTCATCAAGTGGGCTCGCGCACAGCCGAGCACCCCATCCACGTGCAGGCAATTTTTTGAGACCGCGCATACAACAGCGCATGCACGAGGTGAATGTTGAGACAGAGTAAGTGGTACTGCGCATGTGTCGAGCTGGCAGAATGTGAAGTATTCCCGGGCCTTTAGTCTGCTTCTGCTCATAGCACGGCGTGATTGGATTCGTTTCCCATACACAGGGCCGTTTCTAGCCAATTTGACGCCCTAGGCGAAATCCCTATTGCCCCAACCCCCCCAAATTT